GAAGCGTCGCTGACGGCATCAGCCGTTACCAGCTTTCCCAGCCTAACCCTGGGTGACGTGAGGAGTCGGAACTGCTGGGTAAATGGCACAAGGTCGGTGTCAGGATGATCCGTGCTCTGCAGGTGCAGGAGTGTGGGAGAGGAAGAGGAGGAAGGCCTTGCAGGACAAGATCTGACCAATGCCAAGTTCTATCCCAGGAAAGGAGGCAAGAACGGAGCTGACACAAGAGAACCGGTGAACACAGGGAAGGTTTATTCTCTTCGCTAACACCTGGGATGTGGTGTGGAGGAACAAACTAAGGAACCGTCAGACGGAGGAAAAGCACAGGGTTGATTTTTTTCCTCCCATAACCAGGCTAATAGCTATAAAGAAAACTGAACCACAGCGGCTGCTCACGTTGAAGTCCACAGGATTTCTCCATCTCCACACCAGCGTGAAAAACTAACTCTTCCCGTTAAATACAAGAATATATTGCCTTGCCCTGGGACTACAGGCAGAAACAATGCCTACTAACAGCCACTCCAAGGAGAAAAACAAAACAAAATAAAACATACACAAACCACTTCACTTCTTGTGAGCGCTCTGCTCAGAGCATCATTCCTGTCCTACCTTCCTGCCCCGTACCGTGGGGCTCCAGGAGAAGAGGACTTCAAAACAGCAGCAACACGTGTGTGAAAAGGTCACTGGGCAGACTGGGACGCTCCAACGAACAGCGGGGGGGGGGCCACATGCGCCCCAGCCACAGCCTCCACCAAGGGACCGACACCAGGAAGGAGCCTCGTGCCCATCAGCACCTCTCCTCCTGCTGGCAGAATCAGGGGGTAGGGCTGAGCTCCCCCTTTCTGGCATCTCAAAGGGTTTCCAAAAGAATAAACCCACAGTCCCATTCGCTACGGCCGTACCTTCAAGTGCCCTGACGACCACCAAGGTCATCTCTGAGGCCTTGCTTCCAACTGGTGATGTCCCACAGACGGAGGAGGCTCCCACCCTGTCCCAAAACCTGGCATGAGTGCACAGCACAGCGAGACCAAGTTGGGTGCTGGTGAAAGGACCCACCTGTGGGGTCTGCAGGATGCAGCAGCAGCAAGGAACTGCTCCCCTGCAGCTCCAGTCGGTCTCAGAGCACAAGGGCAGCCTGAGAGCTGGGACACGCAGAGGACACCAGGAACCAGCAGACGGGACTCACCTGTAGGTATGCGAGGTGTGAGCTGCACTCACCACGGGTTTGGCAGAGCCTCCCAGCCAACGGCTCCTTACACCAACACCCACCTCTGCTCAGGCACGTTTTATTCATAAAGGAAATATATTAAATTTTTTTTTCCCTGTAAAGTGCTAGAACTTTGCTTCATACTGACTAGTCAACTAGAAGCATCACAACCCTTGCAGCAGGGAGCAGCAGTCGGGTGAGGAACACCCCATGTTCAGTTGGGTGAGGAACACCCCATGTTCAGAAGCTCCCGA